CTTTTGCAGGTCCGCGCGGATATCTTGGATCTGCGCCGACCCCTCCTCCCTGGCGCGCGGAGCGCGCCAGGAACGGCGCCAGAGGTGCCGCCAACAGGCCTCGGCAACGATCCGAGAAATCTGGGCGGACCTCCGAGAATGTATGTTTATATTTGTGCTCGTTCCCTTATCTGCAGCCCTTGGCGGAGGCGCCGCCAGGGTTAGGCAGGGCGTGTCCTCCTACAGGCAGATGGTGGACGACACATTACCAATACCACCAAAATGCTCAAAACATACAATAACAACTAAACGAATCGTCCCCATAGTATTGTGTTCGTGTGTGTGTGTGAATATTTTGGAATAATCCTCCTGTAGAGGGACAGGCCCGACTTGACGCCCAGGGGCTCCAGCGCAGATCCAAGAAATGCGCGAGGAACTTCGATGGTTCATGGTGATGCCGATTGTTCCCTCTTCTAGAGGCCTCGTAGATGGGGTCGGAGTAGATGGGGTCGGAGGATCCCGCCGCATCGCCGATACATCGGCGATACATTGCTGATGTATCGGCGATGCATCGGCCATGCATCGGCGACGCCAGCGTGGAGAATACTGGGCTCCACATCGAGCCGCATCGCCGGTGCATCGACGATACGGCGCGATCCTCCGACCCCACCCTGCTCCGACCCCACCTGGGAGGCCCAGATCTTCCGACGAGCGACGACAAGAGATTGGGCCTTGCGCTAGGCGGCACGGCGGCCTTCCGCCGCGGCCTGGGCGCGCCGCCGGCGCGGCACACCGCAGGGGGAAGGAGGGCGCTCTCGCGCGACCTTGCGCGGGCAGCTTGCGCGCGAATGTCGGCTCGGGGATCTTCTGACCCAGGTCAATCCAGACCCAGGTCAGTCAGGTCTTGCAGAATCTTGTAAGATGCTGCGAGATCCTGCACCCAAACCGGGGTCAATGCGAAGGGTCCCGCAAAAGATCCTGCAGGATCCTGCACCCAAACCCGGGTCAGTGCGACCCTGGCCCTGCAGGATCCTGCAAGATCTGGCGCTCTGGCTGACTCCCGTTTGCATTGACCCCCGCCCGTCTCGAGGCTCCCTATCGGGGAAGACGCCCCCGGGTCCTTTCCGGCGCTCCAGTGTGGTCGGGAAGAGTTCTGCGCACGCTGCTTTACGCTCTCCGACCTCGGCCCCTGCCCTTGCCGCCCCGGCCGCCCGCCTCGCTGGCCGCGCCTCAGAGGAGCACAAGAGAGAGGCGGCCATGACCATAACACAAACTCCCATACTTCCAGGACTTCCTCGATTTCCTGCTCAAGCGATGACGCAAGCATAACCAGTCGAAGATCTGCGCGGATTTCTTGGACCGGCGCCGAGGCCCCCTGGCGGCGCCTCCGGCGCCGTTCCTGGCGCGCTCCGCGCGCCAGGGAGGGGGGTTCAGCGCCTGCCCGAGAAATCCGCGCGGACCTACAGTATTCGGCCTGACCTAAGGAACGATGAATGAGGAACGACCCCCCTTTTTTTCCCAAGTGCGTCTAGGAAATCCGAAAGAACACCAGGGGGGCTTGCCACCAAAAAGGTAGCGGAACGCATGCAAACCAAAGGAACGACCGAGCCCCTTTTGAACGCCATGTGTTCCTTATTAAAGCCGGACCCTGTATGCTTATGCCGTTGCTGACTCACCGAGCAGATCCGAGGATCGCCAGAGATATCCTGCAGCACCTCAGGTGCATGCCATGCCAGACCTGCAGCCATCGTGCTGCCATGCAGGATGCAGCTTGGGGAACGACAAAAGCTCTCCTGGCCACGGCTGGCCTACGCCACCAGACAGACCCCACGACATGGCCCCTCCCGAGCCCAAAGCGGTCCTTCTCTCAGCGTCTTGACCCGGGGATCTGCTGATCAGGGTCAGTCCAGACCCGGGTCAGTCCGGCGCCTGCCATCGGCGCCGCGCCCTCCTCGATGGAGATATGTTCCGCTCCCTTCGGGTTTCGAGGAGGGGTGTGTATCCCCAACCGGGGTGGCAATTCGGTGGGGGTCTCGAAGGGACTGGGGATGGGCATGGGGATCGGTCAAACGATGTGGACAAGCCCCTCCCGAGCCCAAAGCGGTCCTTCTCCCAGCGCCTTGACCCTACTTGGGCGCCCGAGTTATCCGGGGTAACTCGGGTCCGGGGTAACTCGGGTTTGGATTCCCGAAAAAGGAACCCGAGTTAGCCCTGACCCGAGTTACCCCTGATGATTCGGGGCTCTGGACGCCCGAGTTATCCGGGGTAACTCGGGTCCGGGGTAACTCGGGTTTGGATTCCCGAAAAACGAACCCGAGTTATCCCTGACCCGAGTTACCCCTGATGATTCGGGGCTCTGACTTCTCTCAGCGCCTTGACCCTACCACGACCTCCTTCCCTCCCCGGCCCCCCGCCGCGCCCCCCTCCGCCGCCCCGCTCTGCGGCGGCGCCGCCGCGGGCGCCGCCGCCGCGGGCGCGCGCCGGCGCGGCGGCCCGGGCGGGCCCCGCCGCGCCCTCGGCGCCGGGGCGCCTGGCGGCCTTGCTGCCCAGCACCGCGAGGCGGAGCTCCCGCTCCTGAGGGCCCCCAGGATGGCCACAAGGACAGGTGAGCTTCGAACGAGCAGCCCCCCAGTCGTCGTCGTCGAGACAGTCGTCGCACGGCCACGTGCAGGGTGGCCCCCCGGACGGCCAGAGGGAGACAAGCGCATTCCACTACTCGCAAAGTATAGCTACTCGCAAATGGCCTGGGTCCGGCGCGGGGGACCCAGCACCCACTCCATAAAAGGAAGACACGCGCGTCACCTCGGACGTTCGCGAGTAGGCACTTTGCGAGTAGTGGAACGCGCTCGGTGAACAGGGACAGGTGAGCTTCGAACGAACATCCCCCTCGTCGTCGTCGTCGTCGTCGTCGTCGTCGTCGTCGTCGTCGTCGTCGTCGTCGTCGTCGTCGCGGCGGGGCGGGGCGTGGCCGCGGGGCTCCCTGCGCGGCGCCCCGAGGATGGGGGCCGCAGCGGCGGGGGCGACGCCCGCCCCCCCCCCCGTGGCGGGCCCGACGCGGCAGGTCTCGGGCGGGTTGTAGTGGAGGGTGGCCCACATGGGGGGTGAAGAAGAGGGCCCTAAAGGGGTCATTTGGGCCCCTTCTTGGGAGGGGGACCCAAAGGGGGGATGAAGAAAAAGGCCCTACAGGGGCCCTTCAGGGCCCCACTTGGAGTCAGTTGGTGCCCCCAAGAACCCTGAAGGGTCCTTTTAGGGTCCTTTTCTTTACCCGAGTCACCCTCCATTACCACCCGCGCGAAGGCCCCCAAGGTCGTTAAGGGCTTCGCGACTTCTGCCGTCACTCGACTCGCGCTGGATTTTTTGCGAGGCCTCGTGACAAGCACACGAGCAATTAAGACAAGCTAGCGCGGTGCGCAATACCTCCGCATAGCTGTCTTCCAGCTGTCTGCTGGGACGATCGCTATATTCTCGCTGGGAACACCGCAGGCGTCGCAGACGGCAGCGGCGTGCCTGCCGACTTCTCCGGCCCACGTCTGCTTAGGACGACCTCTCTTCCAGCCCACGTCGCGCTGGAGCGGCCACGACTTGCTCCAAACTTCCCTGGAGATCTCTGGAGTCGCCTGGACGTGCCAGGATTCGCCTCGATGTGGCTGGATTTGCCTTGATCTGTCCGGCTTGATCCCGCCAGGTCGGTTGGCGAACAGTCGTCAAGACCCGAGGGACAGGGGGCCCCAACACGGTGCGGTGACAGCCCGTGCCGTGACCTCGGAGCCCTTAGGTGCCTCACCGCACGGTCCGCCACCACGCAGCCTTGGGACCTCGGAGGCCCCAATCGCCCGAGCCGCCCTTGGAGAACGACACTCGTCCCAAAACCGTGCGGCCACGCCGCATCCACACCGACTCGCCACACGGTGTGGCCACCGCACCGCCTTGGGGGCCGGCTGTGGGGCCGCTCTCGGCGACGAATGGGAGATCGGGGGTCGATGCGTCCCCCTTGAGCCTATCCCCCGCGAGCGGTCCCTCCTTGCTTTCGGGTCATAACACGGCTCTCTGGCGGCCGTTAAGGACGATCTGGGCACCCCCTCGGCGAGGCGCAGCCGCTGGAGAGCATCCCGAGGCTGGAAAGCCACCAAAAACTAACGAAAACGCCCGAAAACCTTGAACCCCGAGCCCGTGAGCCTATCCTAGAAGCAAGCGAACTGCATAGAGAAATTAGGCTTTCGGAGCTCCGGGCAGATTTCCTGGATCGGGGCTACCCCCCTCCCCGCGCCAGGGGCCGTGCTGTAGGCGCCGCCAGGCGGGGGGGGGGGCATCGCCGATCCGAGCATTCCGCGCGGAGCCCCGAGAAATCACATGCTTACCCGCCGGTCAGAAGAAGTTGGCAGAAACATGAAGTAGGTTGGAAGTAGATTGGGCTTCCGTCCGCCCCCTGAAGAGGAAGGAAGAGGCGAACCAATCGATGATTGAAATAGGAAGGCGTCTCAAATAGATTAGGATCTGGATATCCAGAAATAAATTATTTCAACGATCGACGGGTATGCAATGCTTTGTATTCTCTGGCTCACCGCCGTGAAACTCTTGCAAGTTTTTGAAACGAATGTGCGTGGCGCTAAGGCGAGCGAGAGCCGAAGCGAGGGGACTTCTCCTCCCCCCTCCTCGTCCTCCTCCTCCTCCTCCTCCTCCTCCTCCTCCTTCTACTCCTGATCATCATCATCACCACCACCACCACCACCACCCTCCTCCTCCTCCTCCTGCTCCTCCTCCTCCTCCTCCTTCTCCTCCTCCTCCTCCACCTCCTCCTCCTCCTCCTCCTCCCCCTCCTCCTCCGGGTGCCGGGATAACGCTTCCCAGTGCGGGAAGTTTTAACCTTTTGCCGAAAGGGGGGGGTTCTTCATCACCTCCTGAGGTCAACACTGAGCTCCTCCTCGTCGTGATCCTCGTCCTGATCGTCCTTGGCCGATGTATCGCCGATGCTTCTGCGATCCATCTACTCCGACCCCAGCTGGAAGGCCTAGAGACTCTCTCTAGAGACTAACGCCGAGGTCCTCCTCGTCCTGATCGGCGTACTTCTCCCTGATCTTCTTCAGCCTCGCCTGCTGGCCTCGGGGCAGCTTCGCGGGCTGCGGCCCGGCCGCAGGCGCCTGCGGGGCCGCCTCCCGGGGGCTCAGAGGTGGGGGTCCTGAGGGGTGGGGCCCTGAGGTTAGGTCGGGCGTTTCCTCCTACAGGCGGATTTTGAAAGAAAATTTAAACACTAGTTCGAACATGCTCAGAAAGAGCCCAAAAAGAACACGAGAAATCGTCCCCAGACTATGTCTGAACTGTTCTTGAAAACTTCCTCCTGTAGATGGGCATGCCCGACTTCACCCTAAGGACGAGACGCCTCCAGCAATGAAAAGCCACCCTTGGACCCCTTCCTATCCTTGATCGCAATTAAAACGCATACGGTCGGATATGTGACGGGTGAAAGATCTTGAAGAACACGAGACCCTCTGACGGCCCAAGCTGAAATTCGAAGGTGCCCTGCCCCAAGGATGCACAAACACATCCAACAAACACGAACAACATTAGGGTACCCTCTCCGAGCCAACCTCGATCTTATACCTCGGTCTGGCCGTAATGACGATGCGCGGTAAAGATGCACGGGCCTTTAGAGGGCCATGTATCGAACCGGGCTGGCCAGTGAACGTCGCCAAGGATGGGCCGAAGGGGCAAAGACGCAAGGTATCCTTGGAACATTGCTCATCCTTACTACGGCCATGTGCCTCTTCCTAGCGTGTGTGAGTGTGTGCGTGTGTGATTTCGGGCCGTGCGAAACCGAAGCCGCTGGGCCGCTGACACACTAAGCAACGCAGGGGCTTACATGCTAAATAAGGTCGGTTGAAACCGCCCTCCGATATACGCTGAGAACCTAACACGCAGGATACACGCTAGGTGCGGAGCACTCAGCGTGTATAGGCGTATTCCCAACTACACGCTGAGACAGTATGCGACCTGACTGTAGGTCACCATCCCTTAGGACCTGAAAATAAACCCAAAGAAGGCCCCAAGAGGCGCCCAAACGGTCCCAAAGAGGCGTCCAAACTGCCTCCAAGAGGCCCCCGAGAAGCCTCCCACGAGATCCCAACGACCATCCAATAAGCTTCATACCCACAACCCAGGCACAGTGGCGGGAGGGGCCGAAGGCCATTAGAAAGGACCATGACAGTGTGCAACTTGACTGTAGGTCCCAATCCGGGGAGCGTCCAAGAGGGGGGGCGCAAATCATGGCTGGCGGCATGTGCGCGGCCCGGGGGGGGCAGGGACGTACTGAAATAAGAAGGGGCGCCATGAACTCTGGGGAGCTATTATGGCCCCGTCATGATATCCACCCCCTCTATCGGTCGCGAGCGAGGGGGGGAAGTGAGGAGGAGAAGGCCTTCTCAGAAGACGGCTGGACTTCCCAGAAACCCTCGCGCCTTCTCAGAAGTCTTCTGTGTCTTCGGGGAAAGCATAGAAAACTTCTCAGAGGGGGACTTCCGAGCCTTCTGAGAAGGCCCGCCCCCCTCATTCACCCCCCCCCCCGGACGCGCCGCCGACTCTAGTCATCAACCCTCTCTTTGCCGCCCCCGACCATCCCTCAGGACCAAACCTTTGAACTCAGGACCCCTCGCCTTCGCCGCCTCCGCCGGCCTCGCGGCGGGCACCGCGGCGGCGGGCCGCGGCTCCGCGCCGCCGTCTGGGGCGTCGGCGCCCCTCTGCATCCTCCAGCGACGCGCGGGAGTGCAGCCAACTCGTATGGTAAGGATGCGCGGTTCGGGCCTCGGGCACCCATGCCGAGGCTCTTCGAGCGGGCTGGCCCCCGACAGTGGTTGAGGATTGACCGCGTGCGCAGGAGGCATTAAATTATACACCACCAACCTTCCTGGCCAGGGCCATCCTGGGCCCTGGCACAGTGTATACGCCTCCTGGCTGAGGCCAGAAGGGTCTATACACCATCGTGGAGCCCAGGGTGGCCCTGGCGGGTCACGGTGGTGGTGTCTAGATGGCATCTGCTGGCCGGAGATAACCGATGAGACAAGGCTGCAAGGGTAACCTCAGGAAGGCATTAAGAAACCCCCCTGGGTTATTCTTAGCACCCGGTTTTCTCAATATTCCAGGCGGGCAGTTTTAGCCGAACGATACACTTAGCACCCGCCGCACACAGAAAACAACATCCACCATCGGCGGCCGCCCCACTAACGCCAAGAGAGGGTGTCGTGCCCTGCTTGGCCTGCTAAGCCTTGCTAAGCCCTGCTTGGCCCTGCTAAACTGCTTGGCAGGAGCAAATCTGCGCCTGGCAGGCCTTAGCTAGGCCCCGAGTCCCCTCAGCCAGGTCTTCCGGTGCGGCCATAACGCTCCAGGGTGCAGGGGCGTTATAATCCACCGGAAAAGGGGGGGGGGGGGGTCTTAATGCCTTCCTGAGGTTACCCTTGGGAAGTCGATCATCTTTACTATGCCGGTTGGCTGTAACGTTAGGCAAGGGTGACCTTTTGGTGCGCCGCCTCAGGGGGGCCCTTTGGGGACACCACTGGGCGCGCAGTCCGCTGCAATCGCATCGCATTCAGCGCTCGGGGTCCCCGTTCAGCCCGCGCCACAGGTCACTCTGGCGAAAGGTCACTCTTACTTTCACGGTGGGGACATTGGACAAGGAACCCCGAGATGAGAAGTCCAGGGTCTGGTGGCCGGGGGAGCTCCAATCGCGGACCAGCCACATATCTCACCGCCGCCCTCCTCAATTCAGGAGTCCTACAGGGTCTGCAGCCTCCTCGGTTTCCCTTTTCTTCTGCCTCTTTCTCCCTCCATCCCCATCCCTCCTCCTGCTGGTGCTCCTTCTCTTCCTGTTCCCCCTCCTCCTCCTCCTCCTCCTCCTCCTCCTCCTCCTCCTCCTCCTCCTCCTCCTCCTCCTCCTCAACGACCGCCCCCGCCGTGGCCGAATCCTGCGGCGCTCCGCCCTCGAGATGCGCGAGCGGCCGCCCCTGCTGGCGGCCTCCTCCTCGCCGCCGCCCCCCGCCTGCTCCGCGCGCGCCGCCCCCTGCGCCACGGCGCCCCCCGCCCGCTCCGCGGGCTCCTCGGCGGCGGCGGCGTCCTGGCCCGCCGCCCCCGCGGGCTCTCCGGCGGCGGCGGCGTCCTCCTCCGCAGGCCCCGCGGGCGCTCCGGCCGCGGCCTCCTCCTCCGCAGACCCCCGACGTCATGATCTCTTCGTAGCGGCGAGGGGACGTCGCCGAACGCTCTTTGGGGGAAGAGACCCTGCAGGTTGTGGTCGTGCTGAGGTGTCTCTGGGGGCCTCCTCCTCCAGGGCCCCCCTCCTCCTCCTCCTCCTCCTCCTCCTCCTCCTCCTCCTCCCCCTCCTCCTCCTCCTCCTCCTCCTCCTCCTCCTCCTCCTCCTCCTCCTCCTCCTCCTCCTGCTCCTCCTCCTCCTCCTCCTCCTCCTCCTCCTCCTCCTCCTCCTCCAAGGGGTCTCGACCCAGTCCGCGGGACTGGCGTTTCATCATGAGTCGCTTGTGGACGGCCCCGAGGCCCAGGAGGCGCCCCAGAGGCCGACATGGGTGAGCAGCCCTTTGTCCTGGCTGTCCTGCTTTTTCCATGACTCGAGGGGAAAGCATGCTACGCATGGAATGAAGAGATAAACAATGAGGCTATGCTGCCTCTTTTGATTTTGAGCCCGCCATGATGCCCACTCGTGCCCACCCCGTCCCGTCTTCAGGGACTTCGCATCCCCCTTATGATCGGGGAAACGTAAGACCCGGGTACGGGGGACTCGGCTTGGCCTGACTGTGCCATCATGAAAATGACGAGACCCAATCTGAAATTTGACGCGAGCTCCCGTTGCAGACACCCAACGAGAAGTGGACCCTCAAAACCCAGGACAAACTCATCAGAAAACGTCGGCAAACCCGAGTTCCGGGTTACTCGAATCTTACGTATCCCCGATGTGATGCTGGCATGGGAAGACGAGCCGCCACCCTCGGCAGTGCACGTACGGTTAGGTCGGGCATGTCACCCTACAGGCGGATTTGGACGAGAAGTAAAACATTGTCAAACAAATCTTCAAAACATGCGCAAACATCATCCAGAAATCGTCCCCAGACTATTTGTTGGATTGTTGTTAAATCTTCCTCCTGTAGAGGGACACGCCCGACTTAAACCTACGGTGCCGGGTTCGGTGGGGACTTGCCCCCCGCGGCCCCGCGGCTCCTCCTCGGCCGCCTCCTCCGCCGCCTCCGCGGGCTCCTCCTCGGCCGCCTCCTCCGCGGAGGCCGAGAATGGTGAACAACCCACTGCCCATGGCGGGTCCGGACCTCTGGGGGTCGACGCCATGATTGTGCTGCGACCGCCGTACGAGAGGACCACATCCCAGAAATAATTTCGAGCACCCAGGAAAGTGTCGAAACAGTGTCGAACGAGTGTCGCCTCCCAGGGTCCGCCACGTGAAAACATTCAAAATTTGGTACTTTCTTGGTGCTCGGAATTCTGTATGGTAATCACGGCGAGAGGAAGTTGGAACATCAGAACGCTATGAACAAATCATGACGTCGGGGGCCTGGGCCCGCCGTCTCTTCAAACATCGCTGGGCCGGCACGGCGTGCAAGTGCGTCCCGGCTTGCGCCGTGGAGTGCGATGTCCTGTCGGGCCGCACCACGCTCCCCCCCAACTGCGATGTCCTGTCCTGGTGAATGCCTGCTTTTTCCATGACTCGAGGGGTCTGATTTGGGTGACCCTAAAGGGGGTCCAGCTGAAATGGGGTTGTGCAATACATTTGGGGCAATTGTGTTGCAAATGTATTGCGCCGGAGAATTCTATTGCATTGTATTGAAAGTAATGCATTGCACGCGAAAAATCCAGCAATACCTTTGCGCCCCGGAACGTATTGCACGCCCCAAGTGTATTGCAACCCCACGAATCTATTGCACCTGATCTATTGCACCACCCCCTTGTCGCTGGACCCCCTTTTGGGTCAACCCGAGGTCTGTCCCCCCCGAAAGTTCTGGCGGCCTCCGATCTCCAGGGCCTCTGGGAGTGAGCAGGGACCGACCGCCTCGGCAATTTCTGCCAGCTTGCCTTGGAAGGCTTCAAGAGGAAGCGTGCTCTACAGTCAACGGCCTGACCTAAGGAACGATAAATAGGAAACGAAGCCCCTCTGGAATCAACCCGAGGTCTGAGTCCTCCGCCGCCCCTGCGGGCCCCTCCTCGGCCGCCTCCTCCGTTGAGGCCCCGCTCTGGGCGCCCGCCTGTTCCCCGGCGGGCGCGCCGGCGCGGCCGAGGGCCTCGAGGTACCGGCTCCGGCGCTCGCCCCGGTGCCGCGCCCTGCTCGCCTCGCCGACGTGGAAGAGGAGCGTGATGCCTGGTCAAGTCCAGAGGTATACATTATACAGGATCACAGTCCTCCCTCGTCCCTGCTCTCTCGTCCCTCCTCCCTCGTCCCTCCTCCTCTTACTCCTCCTCCTCCTCCTCCTCCTCCTCCCTCCTCCCTCCCTCCTCCCTCCTCCCGCCTCCCTCCTCCTCCTTCTCCTCCTCCTCCTCCTCCTCCTCCTCACCCAAGAGGAGGAGGAAGCACAGGAGGAGGAGGAGGAGACGGAGGAGAAGGAAAGAGGAGGAGGAGGAGGAGGAGGAGGAGGATGCTTTCTCCTCCCTCTTCTCCTCCTTTTCCTCCTCCTCCTCCTCCTCCTCCTCCTCCAAGGGTACAGGCAACCCGTAGAAAAAGGATGCGCGATAAGCATGCAAGGGCCTCGGACGCCCATTGCGAGGCTTTTCGATCATCGCGGCGTGGCCAACGAGTGGCGAGGGATGGACCGAAGTGGCAAGGATGCAAGGTTGTCCTTGGGAAGGTTGCCCATCCCAACTATGCGGGTTGACTGCACCCCACAAAAAATTACACATCACTGGCATATACACACATCACCGGATTTTCGTCTCCCCCTCCACTTCCAATATGCTCCCAGAACATCCTGGGAATATCCGTTTATGTGTATGTGGACTCGTGTCTATTGTTCCCTTCTGAATGCCCATCTCGAGGTGCAGGTGCGGCGTGAACCGCCTGCGGCCCTGCACAAAGAAGCCGCCCTCCACGGCGACGAAATCGCTCCCAGTCGGCGCCGCTCCTAGACGAATGAAACCAAAACATACACATACGAATTTGGAGGTTCGGAAGTCCGTGCGGATTTCCTGGATCGGCGCTGCGCGCCCCCAGCGACGCCGCTGGCGCCGCCCCTGGTGGGGCCCACTGCCGACCCATGAAATCCGCTCGGAGGTCCGAAAGTTCACGTTTATGCAATTGTTTCTTCTTCGAGCTCCCCTGGAAACCGCGTCCATCGTGACCCACCACGGCGAAATGACGATGTGCTTGTCCCAAGCGGAACTGTGGCACAATGCCGTCGTTCCGGCCTCGCAGAGGGTGGCCGGGGGCACCTCGCCACCAGACGGGTTTTTGATAAAGAAAGGCTTCGCTCCGGCAACGTCCGCGTGGACGAACACGTCGTGTGGGCAGAGGTACTTGCAAAACAAGTGTTCGGTCTGGCTGCTGTCGTGGGCCGCCAAGACGAGACCCGCCGCCGTGCCCCCTGGCGCGAAGCGGAATGGAGTGGTGAGATGCGTGTGCCGCGTGGCCGGAATTATGTGATCTCCTGTGGCGCCGTCGAACAGGAAAGGCGGGCAGGTTCGAGGTTTTGGGTTCGGGTGAATCCCACCAGCCCTTTGGGCGTGAGTGGTTTAGAGAGCTCTCTCTGTCCTCAACCCCCCAACCCCCCTTCTTCCCCTTCGGGGAGGGGTTTACCCCTCCCCCTACCCCCTCCCCCTGGGTCTGGAAGAGGGCGGGCCGCGGGTCGTTGGAGGGGTCTTTTTCGACTCCTGGGAGGGCTAAAAAACGACACCCCTCACAAGGATTCTGCCCCCGACGGGGGGACACCGTTTGGCCCCCCTCCTCTTCTTTAAAGCCAGAATCATTGATTTTACTACGGTTTTGGCCCCATGTTGGCGTCCTGAGGGAGCCGCGCTCATCTTCCTGCATAGCAAAATCATTGATTTTACGAAGGTTTTGGGCTCATTTTGTCCTTCTCAGGGGGCAGCTCTCCTTTGCGCTTCTGCGGAGGTCGCAAGAGGCCCCAAGATGGCCCCAAGAGGCACCCAGGAGGCTCCCAAGAGGCCTCCAAAAGGCCCCCCCGAGGCCCCCAAGCGGCCCGAAGAGGCCCCCAAGAGGACCCCAAGAGGCCCCCAAGAGGCCCCACGAGGCCCCAAGAGGCCCCCAAGAGGCCCCCAAGAGGCCCCCAAGAGGCCCCCCAGAGGCCCACGACGCCCCAAGAGGCCCCCAAGAGGCCCCCAAGAGGCCCCCAAGAGGCCACACGAGGCCCCAAGAGGACCCCAAGGGGCCCCACGAGGAGCCCGAACGACTCACATCAGGACGAGGGGCCCGAACGACTCACACCACGAGAAGCCCGAACGACTCACACCAGGACGAAGAGCCCGAACGACTCACACCACGAAGAGCCCGAACGACTCACACCACAAGGAGGGGCCCGAACGACTCACACCAGGACGAGGCGCCCGAACGACTCACACCACGAGGAGCCCGAAGGACTCACACCACGACGCGGGCCCCGAACGACTCACACCACGAGGAGCCCGAACGAGTCACACCAGGAGGAGGGGCCCGAACGACTCACACCAGGACGAGGGGCCCGAACAACTCACACCACGAGAAGCCCGAACGACTCACACCAGGACGAAGAGCCCGAACGACTCACACCACGAAGAGCCCGAACGACTCACACCAGGAAAAAGGGCCCGAACGACTCAGACCAGGACGAGAAACCCCAAACGACTCAAACCACGAGGAGCGTTTTCTCTCCCTCCTCCTTCGCCTCGTCCTTCTCCCGCTCCCCCCACAAGGAGGATGTACAAGGAGGCGGGAGGAAGGAGGAACAGGGGAGATATGCGGGGCCCAGCGGACACACGCCTGAAAAACACGACTGTCGGCATGTTTCGCGAGAGTTGCTGCTGTGAGATGGGCTGGTGGGGATACGCGAAGCGTACAGAATTTTGTGTAATTTCCAATTTCTGGGGAGCACTTTCGGGCCCCGGATCAAGGGTGACAAGCTGCGCCCGAGGGGCCCCGGGAGTGGTCCACGGACCGATGTTGATCGGATTTGGTCCCATCCCCCCCCCGTCCTCCAATCCACGACAACCCAGGCAAAGGGGTCACCACTTGGAGGCGCGCGCAAAGGGGCAGGGAGAGGGGGATGGGTGGGTTTTAAAGGAGGCTGCTTCTTTGAAGGCGCGGGCCTTGCTCTTATAGATAAGGTCCGAGCCATCCATGAAACGCGGAAATTTTGAGAAACCTTACCCGTTCCCTCCCCTTGCCCCATTTTGCCACAGTTTGCTCCTCCCCTAATGCCCATTCTGCTCCTCCCCTCGCCCGACGGCCCAGGAATGTCTCAGGAAGGGCCCAGCACCACCCAAAAAGACGTTGAGAAACACGCGGGAGGCCCGAGGCGCAGGAAAAAAAACCCTCTAAAGGGCCCCGGGCGGGAAACGACATACGGTCTGTCGATGTTGAACATGAAATGCTCGGCAATAAATACTGTTGTACGCCCAGAATGCGCTGTCGCGCTTTCGCCTCGGCGCCGTCAGCGCCCCGTTTGAAAATTAAGCTCGCACTCGCGCGGTTTAGCGCGCCGGAACCGGCCCTCCAACGACGACGACGCTCGGGCTCGAAATGTCCTCCATTCTCGCTCGGGGCCGGGGCTCTTGCTGCCCCCCCCAAAGCCGCCCTTCCAACAAAATTGGCGCCCCCGTTCGATACTTCCTCGCTTTTAACCCCAGGGCCGGCGCTCCCGCCTCAGAACCCCCTACAGACACGGGCACATCCGCTCGGTACCTCCTCCGCGTTTAGTCAAGTCTCCCAGGGCGCTCTGCATTTCGCTTTCGAAGTAGCCTATAACACGAGTTATCTTCTAACAACCACCAGGAAGACCCGAGAAAACAAAAATAGCAAGTCCTGTCTTGTTGATTGTTCTAGAATCGGGAGGGAATAAGATCATAAAGCTGGCAATCATACAAGAACCTGTTGGACCTAGATGATTTCACAACGAATGCACTTTCGCGCTCTCGCGCCTGCTCCGCGCGACCTCGCTCTCGTTCGCGTCCTGGGGCGCGGCGTCGTCGCCGTCGTCGCCGCCGCCGCCGCCGTCGCCGTCGTCGCTACACCGTTAGTACTGTTGGACACCCTGAATGCGTGTTCGCACTCTCGCGCTTGCCCCGCGCGATCTCACTCTCGCTCGTGTCCTGGGCCGTCGAAGGCCTCCTGGAAGCCTGGAACCCCTTCAGACTCCCAGGGCCTGGGGCTCTTTCTGGAGGAGGAATACTGAGAGTAAGAGGAGGACGACGGGGACGGGGACGGGGACGGGGACGACGAACCCTGGCGCCATCAGAAAGCGGCCAGCGCAAGAACGGCCCCAGGGAAAGGATTGAAAACCTGGGGGCCTCAGAGCGGAAGTTTCTCAAAAGGCTCTGAGGGCTCTCCAATGGGCTCCCCCATCTGTTGCGAAGCCTCGTCTGGAGGTCTTGGGCTTCTCAGGCGTCGCGATACCTAGAAGCAAGGCCCGGGCATAGGGGACTGCGAAGGCGATGTGCCATCTGGGCTGGAAGCGTTGGACATGCCTCTGAAGAGGTGTTGTCCAGACGTCTTCATGCGGGAGATCAGGGAGAGGGGATATCGGACCCCCGCGTGCAAGAACAAATCCCTCATAAAAGGGGACAAAGTCGTGATGAATGCGTGCTGCATGCTGAAGCATCGAACATTCGGAGAAAATGCTGGTTGTTGTCGTTGTTGTTGTTGTTGTTGTGTTTGGTGTTCGTGTTGTTGCTGAGCTCTCACTACTGAATAATCAGTACTGTTGATCCCCTGTCCAGTGACATTCTATTGTTCAATTGAAGTGTTTCCCCTGGGGCCCGCACCCTGGTTTTCATCGGGGAAAGCACGGGGCTAAAACTACGGTGTTGGCTCTCGGTTTGCAACAGCAGCGGCTCCCGCCGAATACTCCCACATCGCGCTCTCGCGCAAGACTTCCTAAACATTTGTATACGAATCGCGCCCTCGCGGGGGACCCCCTCACAGTTTATTCAGACAGTGCGCCCTCGGCGCTCAGGAATCACGCTGTCGCTCGAGACGCCCTCGCGATTCAGGCAGGACCCACGCTTCAGCCACCCGCCTGCTCGACCTGGTCGCCTGGGCCCGCCTTCCCGACCTGCCCGCTATGGGTCTGCCCACCCGATCTGCCAGTCTGGTTATACCACTTGTTTTCTGCTCTTTGCCCCCCTCCTGCTTCTTCCTCTCGTGTTCCATTCTTAGGGGCTGCACTGCATGCGCGTGGCAAGTAAGGAAGATATTCCCCCAAGGGGGTGCGATCGACGACGAAGGGGGCGGGTACCGAGGGTTACGGTTTGGGATATACGTATCGAATGGCACGTGACAAGGCAGGAGCGAAAATGCTTAAACTGATTGTTGTTGTTGTTGCTGGTGTTGATGTTGTTGGTGTTCTTGGTGCTGCTGTTGTTGTCGCGTCGTTGTCGTTGGTGTGGTTGTCGTGGTAGTTGGCGTGGTTGCTGTTGTTGCTGTTGTCGTTGTTGCTGGTGTTTCGGAACTTTCGCTCGTGACAATAATCCTTGTTGAAACCCCACCAACGCACATTGTGCTTTTCAATTGAGATGCCCCCATTGGGCCAGCATTTTTTATATCATGTATGTATATATGTATACAATTACATACACACCTATATGTAATTGTATACGTGAACACATATACATCTTTAGTATGAATAAATACCGCCCCCCCAGCCCCAGGTCCCACACCTCCCAAGAACATCTCGGGAACGCTCCCACTCCCCCAGCCTTTCCGGGGAGCCTCCACAGCGCTCCATGGAGGGCCCAAGACGCCGCCCAGGAGCTCCCAGAATGCGAAAGGGTGGCCCAATACGCTCCCAAGCAACCCAAGTCAGCCTTCCGACGGCTCTGGAGGCTCCCAGATGGCCTCCAAGAGACCCCAAGAGAGGTCCGAGAGGCGTCCCGGGACGGCCCGAAGAGGCCCAAATCGTCGATTTTCATGTTGTTCAATATTTTTGGCTTCTCGCGTTTTCGAATTTCAAACGCTCCAAAGACGCAGAAGAACCGCACAAGACCGCCCCCAAACCACCCCAGATACCCTCAGGACGGCCCCAAAACGGGCCAAGAAGGCTCCAAGACTGCCGAAGAGGCGCCCACAACAGCCCAAGACCACTCCAAAACAGGCCCAAGATGGGCCCAAGAGCGGGAGCAGGAAGCTTCCAGAGATCTCCGGAAGGCATCCGGGACACCCCAGAGGCCCCCAACACAGCCCCGATCCCTGAAAGGCTCCAAAAAGACCCCCGACTAGGCTCCAGACGAGGCTCCAAGAACAGCCCAAGAGAGCTGCGAG